AGCCAAGCTTCTGGGGAGCTGGACTCAGACCTCTTTCATGGATGAAGATCATGGAGGCCCAGGAAGGAGAGGTGACCCGCCCAAGGCCACACACCCAGCACGAGGAAGAAGTGGAGAACCTTATCTGTCAAAGAACCAGAGAAACAAGTGTTCCCCCGAATGCTCCAGAGCGAGAAAGGTGCAGACTCTGCACCACTGCGTGCTTATTAACAGTTTAACGAGATATTTAGAAGCAGAACTGTCACCTGGTGAGACCCGCTGACACCGGTTCACATCCACGGCATCACGGACGGCGAGGAGCGCGCCCCCAGCGGCCGAGGCTCTGCTGCCACGTGCACCTGGATGCCGGCCACGTTGCAGCTCATCTGAGGCTCATCCTCCCCATGGGCCCAGTCCGGTCCATGGCCTACAGAATAAGAGTGGTTCTCACATCTTTAAGTAAGCAGAAAAAGTTTAAAAAAAAAAAAGGGTATTTTGTGACACAAAAAAGTTACATGAAACTCAGCTTTCACTGTGGGTGACTGGTTGTACTGGGACATGTTCACTGCACTTCCTGCCCAAAGGTCCTGCATGGAGACGGTCAGCACCTGGTGTCGTGGACCGTCCCGTCCGATTTCCTCTCTGACACGTGACAGAGGAGCAGATGATGCTTCCATGACCCCGTGAACGGAAGCGGACATCCTCACCCGTAAACAGGCCGCTTATGTAACGAGCATCTGTTTCCCAAATGTCCCCGGTTTTCATACCCCTTCTGAACTGACATGTGTTTGTCTCACTGCCGGCTCCTTCGCTGACCAGTTAATAAATGCTGATGTGCGCTCAGGGTCGCTCGTCCATCCTCAGCGGAAAAGAGGGGTCTCATCTCCAAAAACCAGACACCACAAGAGAAAGGCAGAAAGACCGTGGCTCTGACCAGCCTGGGAGCCGGCAGCCCCCAGCCCCAGGCCCCCTCGCACCACCCGGGCTCAGCCCACCTCTCTGTTCTCAGCCAGCAGCTTACGGATGCTGCTGCCCACACAAGGCTCTGTCTGGACTGGAGAAGGGCTTGGGGGTGGCGGGCTGCCGGGAGGTAAGGGAACTTGCGTACTTCCTCCTGGCATTCCTCCACCCTGACTCCCTTCATCTGTTGTATGTACTGCCAATGCCTTTCCTAGCTGGTTTGCTTTTTAGTTTTTCCAATACCTAAAATACTTCCTTATAGATCAGTTAATTACATGAGCTCACGGCCCCTGGCAAACCTGGGGGGGGCCCCGCCCAGCCAGGAACAGGCAGCTCCCCGTGGAGCAATCTCACCGGCGCACGTGAACACAAACCAACCGGGGAAGGTGCAAAGTGCCCACTTCCTGGCGTGTCCCCCGGGCCCCTCCCCTGGGAGTTCTACAGTGATTTCTGAACCTGCTGCTCTTGGGCCCCGGCTCCTGTTCCAAGGGTGGCAGAGCTGCTAACCTCACCCACGTCTGGGAACTCGCTGCCTCCGCTGGGCAGGCGGGTCCAGTAGGAGATACCTGGACACCAAGTGGCACAGAAGTGCCCTCTCTGCCCCTTCCTGTGCATCAACGGAAGGCGGTCAGAGGAGCAGGGTGAGCGGGGTGAGCAGGGTGGGGCTCCAGGAACACGTGTGTGAGAGAAGCCAGGCCCCAGGCCCAGGCCCCCAGCCCAGCGGCCTGGCCATCCAAGTACCAGCACTGGTCTTCCTCTTGGCCTTTCTCTGCTTTTTCCATCTGTGAAATCAGGCAAATAAGGGTTGGTATGAGGATCAAACAAAACAATAAATACGAGATTGATACCAACCTTTAGTTAAAAGGGCCAGATTGGCCTAAAGAGAAAGCTCGTCTGTAAGCAGGTGCCCAGGGGCCGACAGGGAGGGCGCTGGGTCCACTCAGAAGGTGTCCAGCCACAGCAGACGTGATTCCGGTGAGCCCGAGACCCAGGCCTTGCCCCAGACTAAACAAAACAGCACGGAGCTGCAGGCTGCGGGCACTGAGGACGTACACCGCCCAGGGCTTAGAACAGCCTCACACCTAGTGCCCTGCGTCCTGCTCACCACCTCTGACCAGCTCAGGGCCAGACACGGACAGACTAGAGTGGTCCGGGGAGGAAGGTGTCCCAGGATGTACCGCTGTGCCCAGGGAGGTGGAGAACAGCCTTCCACGACCAAGCGCTCAGCTGGCCCCTCGTGACGTGGGCAAGCCCTCAAAGGCCAGATGGCCTTGGGCAGGAGGGTGAGAGGAAGCCCCTGGGCTCAGTCCCACCTCCCGGGGGTCATTCAAAGAGAATGCCTAGGAGGGCCTTTCCCCTAGGAGTTTTATAGCATCCGGTCTTACATTTGGGCCTTTAATCCATTTTGAGTTTGTTTTTGCACATGGTGTTAGAGAACACTCTCATCTCAGTCTTTTACAAGTAGCTGTCTGGTTTTCCCAGCATCACTTATGAAGAGACTGTCTTTTCCCCATTGATTATTCTTGCCTCCTTTGCTGTACGTTAACTGACCCGTGTGTGGGTTTACTTCTGGGCTGTCTACCGTGTCCCACTGGTCTGTGTCTGGTTTTGTGCCAGCACCACACTGTTCTGATGCCTGTAGCTTTGCAGTATAGTTTGAAGTCAGGGAGCATGGCTCCCCCAGCTGTTCCTCCTCACGGTTGTTTTGGCTATTTGGGGTCTTCTCTATTTCCATATATACTTTAAAGTTATTCTAGTTTAAAACTGTTCTAATTTCTAAAGTAAAGGAAATAAAAGTAAAAATAAACAAATGGAACCTAACTAAACTTAAAACTTTAAAAGTTTTTGCATGGCAAAAGAAACCACCAACAAAATCAAGACAAGCTACTTACTGGGAGGAAACATCTGCAAATGATACGATCAATAGGAGATTAATATCCAACAATGTAAAAAGCTCACACAACTCAACATCAGAAAACGACCCAGCCAGATGAGCTATACCTATACAACAGAATGCTATTCAGCCATGAAAAACGACAACATAACGCCATCTGCAGCAACATGGATGTCCCCAGAGAAGGTCATTCTAAGTGAAGTAAGCCAGAAAGAGAAAGAAAAATATCATATGAGATCACTCATACGTGGAATCTAAAAAAAAAAAAGCAAGACAAAGACAAATGAACATAAATATAAAACAGAAACAGACTCATAGAATACAAACTTGTGGTTGCCGGGGGGAGGAAGGTGGGAAGGGACAGACTGGGATTTCAAAAGGTAGAATAGATAAACAAGATTATACTGTGTAGCACAGGGAAATATATACAAGATCTTGTGGTAGCTTACAGTGAAAAAGAATGTGACATGAATATACGTATGTTCACGTATAACTGAAAAGTTGCGCTCAACACTGAAAATTGACACAACATTGTAAACTGACTATAATTCAATAATAGAAAAAAAAGAATACAACCTGAAAAATGGGCAGAAGACCTGAATAAACATTTTTCCAAAGAGGAAACGCAGATGGCCAACCAGGCACGTGAAAAGGTCCTCAACATCACTAATCGTCAGAGAAGTGCATTAAAACCACACTGAGCTGTCACCTCACACCTGTCAGAATGGCCATCATCAAAAAGACCACAAATAACAAACACCGGCGAGGGTGTGGAGAAAAGGGAAGCCTTGCACACTGTTGGTGGGAATGTATATTGGTGCATCTACTATGGAAAACAGCTTGGAGGTTTCTCAAAAAACTAAAAATAGAACTACCATATTGCCCAGCAATCCCACTCTTGGGTGTCTATATCTGAAAAAAAACCAAACACTCAACTTGAAAAGACACATGCACCCCAATGTTCACAGCACTATTTACAATAGCCAAGATGTGGAAGCAACCTAAATGTGCATCGACAGAGGACTGGATAAAGAAGTTATGGTGTATTTACACGATGGAATACTACTCAACCATAAAAAAGAATGAAAATTTGTCATTTGCAACAATAGGGATTGACCTGGAGGGTATCATGCTTAGTGAAATCAGCCAGACAGGGAGAAAGGCAAATACTGTATGATCCCACGTGTATGTGGAATCTAAATAATACGCAAACAGGTGAACGTAACAGTGGGAACACGCTAAACGATGACAAAAACCTTCATGGCACGATCAGAACTGCGCAGAGGCTCCTGTGAAAGGGGAACCCAGAGCTGGGCGCACTGCTCTGCGGGAGGCTGAGCTGCTGGCAGGCAGTCTCCAGAATGGTCTGGGCACTGACTGCACCTTGACCCTTTGCCTCCTTGGCTGGGCCTCCTCCACGAAAGCTGAGACCTCAGGGGCTGACTCCTCCACATGGATCGCTTCTGACGTGGTTTCCCTCCGACTCAGGTGAGGACAACACTGTCTTGGCCCGTCTCCCAAGGAGAGCGTTCTCACCAGAAAAACGAGGAGACTTGGTCCCAGGAGCCTCCACGGCTGGAGACGTGGGTTCCAGGACAGAGGCGGCCGTGCCTGGCCTGCAGAGGCGGGCATTGACACGTCCAAGCTGCACCCGTCAGTGGAGGGGGGATGTGAGCTGCGCGGGCAGCAGACAGTCCTCCTGGAACAACACAGCCTTGCTCTGGTCCAGCGGGAGCGTGAGGTGCTTACGGGAGCTGCTGGGAGCCCTGTGCTCAGCTTGCTGCCCTCACCTCAAGGGTTTTGGAGCTGAGTCAGTGGCTTCACATCCACTGCGTCCAGCTCAACTCCCCTCCTCACTACGTGTGGGGACACAGGTGACACGGGTTCCCCTCATGGACCCCAGGAGGGCAGAACCACGGCTGGTCCGGTTCTTCCTCTTGAGGAAAGGGAGTCGGGGAGCCATCGGGTCCAGCACAGGTGCATTTAAAGGAAACCCGCACGACAGAAACAGCCACTCAGCAAATTCGAGGATCACTACTCTGTGCATCTGTGTGGTCAGTAACTTCCCAGGTTATGGCCTGAATACAGGTATCAGCCCTTGAGTGTGTGGACTGGTCCATTTCTACTTTATGAACTAGATGCTACAAAATTAAAAAGTACTCGTGGAAACAGAAAGCATTTGTTTATTATTGCTATAATCAAGGCAAAATCTCTCAAAACAACTGGCCTTGATAATGGAAGTATAATCAGAACCATTATTCCATTACTCATGACTTGCAGTCTGTTGTTCTCTGCTGTTCAGACTTGACCATTTCACACAGACCACCCTGAACAAGAGGAGGGATTCCCTTGGAGATCGGAGGGCAGGCCCGACTACTTCCCCAGGTTCTGACTTCAGACCAAGCATTTCCTCGCTCTGAACCTGCTTCTCCTGTGTTTAAACAACAGGCAGGAGAGGGGAGAAGGGGCCAGGAAGTACCCCATCCCCGGCAGGACTGACAGGAATACCACGGGTGGTAACTGAGAGAGCACACGTGAACTTGCCGATTACACTCGAGAAAAACCACACAAAACACAGTATCACGAGTAGCAGTGCCCGTCGGCCCACAGGGAGGGCGGGGGTCCTCACCACGCAGCCATGTCCAGGCAGCCGGCACGGCAGTCACAGGGGACCTGAATCCTGTGGCCGGGCGATGGAGACTCGCACTCAAGCCGCCCAGCGCACTGAGGACGGACCTGGCCCGACAAGCCACAGGGACCCAGCTTCATCCTAGAAACACGTGGTCAGTTTTATTTACCTTAATATACACCTGCACAGGCAATAACCAAAAGGTTATTACACAACAATTCAGTGAGTTTTACCTAGTTTCAGGAGTAATGCATGCGGTTACAAATGAGAGGTAGAAACACTGTATTAAAGACCTAAACATACAAACATCGTATAAATAAATGTTCAGATTAACTGCTGGGATTTCATACAGATAAATAAGGTAAAAATTACATTACTTTGTCAAAGTAAAGGAAAGCCATGTTCTTGTTTTCACCAGTACACTAAATTAGATGAATGCCAGTGCCTCTGTGTGGCTGGCCAGAGACCAGGTTATACTATCTAGGAGGGCTAAACTAGAGAATGGCTTATTCAAGTATTCAAGCAGGTAAGTAAGAGAAACCAAGTAACACACAACGGAGGAGCCATTCCTGGAGGGACGCTCGCTGCCCGCGTTCTCACGACCAGCTCTTCGGTGAACTGCCGGGATTAACGTGAAAACACACGTTAGGCTGGAGAGAGCGGCCCGTTTTCCTAAGAGAAAACAAAGCTCATTTTCCATCAACTTCATGTAAAACTCCACATCACTAACAAGGCTTTAGATCACCGACTCTGTTTTGGCCTACTAAAATTCTTAAGCGTCTCTTGATTGATACTTGTTCTAATTCTGCCCAAACACACCTCGCCTTTAACAAGCTGGACGTCACGGGCATCTGCTCGTTCTGCATGCACAGTAAAAACGCAAACAAAAGCGAAAGCCAGCGACTCAAAATACCACCAAGAAAACCTGTAGGTGTAGATGAATAGGTTAAAAAAATGCAAACGTTCACATGAACACCAGTTTTTACCACTTGAAAGTCCAAAAGAGATTACATGAAAATTCTGGAAAGGGTACGTATGTATAATCAAGTAAAATATTTCAAACAAGTCCATTGTGCCTCAGTTAGTTTTATACTGCAAAATCCAATACATAGTTGTTTTAATAAATTAGTGCAATATGAAAGATTTGGAAGATTATTAATATGTGTCCATATTAGATCAAATCGAAGATTTCACAATTTCTTCCAAGAACCATCTTCCATTTCTTAGGCTATTTCTTCCCAAGCCATTTATGGACATGTGCTCAGATTCAGAGACTCACCCCGAGCATCAAACTGCCTGGACGCGATGCAGTTTCTTACTTCTGTGCCCCAGTGAACACGCGGAACTTCACACTCTGCTCTGGTGAGCATGTGAAGGGCTGCTCCCTGGCTCCCTCTCAATCATCCTTAAGAAGAGCTGTGCTGACAACTAGTGCTAAGTAAGGTACGTTTATTTACCAAGTTCAGGCTGCGAGCCAAGTGGATACTCTTGCTTCTGCTTCTACAAAGCAAAAGGGGAGGGGTGACTGCTCTGCTAAGGCAGACTTCCTACAAGTAAGTAGTTTGAGGACTGCTTTTCCTTTTTGAAATCACTGCTTGCTCTTTGGTAGTCACCTACAGCTTCCTGGGGTCGGGGCAACGGGACCCGAGCTGCGCCCCCCACGCACCACTGCACACCCCACCACTGGTCCAGGGGGCAGGCCTGCTGCTGGTCATATGGTTGAGGTGCTGTAGCAGAGTGCCGACAATCTTCTCTCAATACTGGATTTATCTGGAAATAACATAAATTCATAATACAAATCATTTATAGTTTCCAAACCAAGCAAAGAAGAACTAATGAAAAAAAAATCACTCTCTACTGACATCCTCACCCCGAAGTTAATAGTTCTGAATACTGTTTCTTCTTTCCACTCGGTGATTGTTTAGATCTGATTTCTAGCTTAGGGTTGCACAGTGGTAAACTATCGATTAGCACGTCAAATAAGGAACATTTTGGTTTTAACAGCTGGTTTGCTCACAACTGCAAATTATTTCAGAATTGCTAACTCCTTGTGGCTCTTCTAAATGTGGCATGACCACATCTACCTCAAGAGGTCCACCACCTCCTCCTCAGAACACCTCACCAGGCTTGTATTTGGCAAGTGGGACACCATCCTGGTGCCCGATCAGGCCCCCTCTGCTCACTGCACCGAATCTGCAGTCCGTGGGGTCTCCACAGGGCGCCTTGGTCACTAAGCCCACAAGGCTTAAAACAGTCCCATCTATTACGTAATAATAAAAACAAAGTTCCCTGCACACATGAACACACACCCACCACCGGGGACGCGGTGCAGAAGTCTAAGACAATGACAAAAGCCATCAGCGCCTCACAAGTGTCTCCGGCCCTCACGACAACTCCGCAAAGCGGGGCATCGTCCCTCATCTCGAGGGAGAAGGCCAGAGACCCCAGGAAAGGGCCGGGACTTGCCCAAGGTTGGAAAGCCAGGACTCAAGCCCAGGCAGGGTGGGTCCAAGCTCCACGCTCCTCCCACTGCACCAGCAGGAGACACTAAGCTGCTTCCTAAGTCAACTTACACTTATGCACGTTCTCAATGTCTGCAGGGTCCTGGAGGATCTTGGTCAGGCCTTCCAGAAGAAGGGCCGCCTTGTGGTAGCGGAACACAACGTCTTCAGTCTGCTGAAACATCTCATCCAGGGCCGCAGCTTGAACCTGGCGCCAGGCGACAAAAACGAGAATAGCCCCGACTTTCCAAGAAAATACGAGTCCATTTGGGCAACAGGGCTTTAATGGAATCTGTCTAAAATCAACAACATTTTGACGAAATCATATAATCTATGAGGTGAGTGAAATAAAGAAAGAGTTTCTTGACAAGAGTTATCCTGCATTCCAACACAGCCTTCTTGAACCTGGAGACTCATAACTTGTAAGATCTGTACTTCCAAACTGGCTCTTCCATGACATCACTAAATAGTTTATTTTAAATATACACTTCCACACTAAGCTGGCATTTCGTTCAAGTGGGTTTTGTTACCGTGAAATAGTCAAACAATATTAAAAGCCACTTATCACCTTCATTTAGTCAAAGAATTTCCTAGTGTGTGGGATTCATCATTCAGAGATATTTACTGGGCACCTACTCAGGATGGCCCCTGAGTATCTGGTGAAGGTGAGCTCACAGTCTGCAGGGAGACATGGGCTGTAAAACTAACCGTCCGATTACGAGGGACATGTGGAGTTACAGGAGGAAGCCCCAGATGGCACAGAATCCATGTGAGGTGCACCCACGTGACTGCGGGAGGAAGACAGGATTTGGGAAGGCCTCCACGGAGGGCCGTCCAGGTGTCCAGGCTGAGTCAGAAGCAGCAGGAGGGGGCTGGGCGATGGGGAAGGTGGTGGGGGCTTCCCAGAAACTGGGGCAGTGGTACTGTTCACCAGGCACAAGTGTTTGTTCTCCCAACAGCATTCTGATTTCCTCTTTACTCAGTAAATCTAAGACTGTCAGAACCCAGTATCCTAATTTGTCAATACACTCCGTGTCTTTAAAAAAATAACAGCACTTCTAACAAGATAAATAAAATGGGTAGAGAAGATCAAAACCCTGAAAAGGCAGGAGGAAGAAATAACTGAACCCAAGTGCAGGGTCCCAGGGCTCTCACTATCGGGAGAGAAAGCAGCCCCACAACTCCTCGTGAGAGAACTTTCTTCTTGCACAAATTTCTAAAAGAAAATGTGTCACGCGAAGTCTTAATTTGGTACAGAATGATACAATGCGTATTATTCAATAGTTTAGAGCAATATAATGTAAATTATTCTCATCAACAGTTTATATTCCAAGATTATTTTCATATGCTTTTTATTATAATGGCTTCAAAATAAGGCCTGGGTGTAATATAACAGTACAGTTCAAAGGAGACAAATCTGGGAGGAGAAGGAAGGCCTATTATCTTCATGTAGTAAAAATTATAAGGGTGCTCAGTAGTTAAATTTCTTCCCATTTAATTAACTTCCTTAACAGTCCCTAGTTTCATGTAGACTTCAGAGCAACTTTTCCTCACAGGACAGAAAGCAAATTATTTCCAGTAATACAAGCAGACGGCTGGAAACGCAGGCCTGACTTTGTGTCTCTGCTGCAGTACGGTCAGCAGGACTCTCAGCCCATCAAGTTTCGCAGACTGGCTAACAGAGCAGTAATTTTTCTAATGTGCTATCAAACCAAATTTCTTAAATAGTAGAAAATGAAGAAACAGATCCAGCTAAAGCTTTTGGATGTAAACTATTAAAAATATTAGATCACGCCTAATGCTAGCAATTTTTAAGAGGTATATAATAAATGTTGACCAAATGTGGTAACCAGTGGAACTTATGTTGGTTACATATTAAGCCCAGTTCCTCCTTTAAGAAAAGGGAGCCACAAGACTTGGGACCTGGGAGTGGCAGTGCATAAACTCGTTTTGAAAGGACCATGTCAGGTAGGTGATGAGTTCAAAAGCTGCCCTTAAAGACAAGCACAGTATTAAACCTTAAAGGGGCTGCCATCTCCAGGGCACAGTAATCGATAAGGGGTTACCATCCCTACGGCAGTGACAGGTGACGGGCTACCATCTCTACAATGCAGTGACAGGTGACAGTAACAGACAAGGGGTTACCGTCTCCACAGCGCAGTGATAGATGAGTGTCTCCGCGGTCACGCTGTTGATCTCATCAATAAACCTCTGCTTGTCAGAGAAGAAGCGATTCAGCTTTTCTGTAAGTTTCTTGCACATGGTGATGCAAAATTTATATCGTTCATTCAGATTTTTGACAACTGGAAAAAAGTTAAGGTGACAATTTTAATTTTTCTCCAGAAACAGTGACAGTGACATGCAACTTTCCTGCTGATTTCAGGCAAGTGACCCTAAATGATCATTGGAAACAATGCCTGGGAGGCACTCCTCCATGTGTGCTCTCTGCCAGTTCATTAAAGATTGAGAACAAAGCTCTTCTGACTGCTCTTTGTATCAATTAAATGGCAAAAACAAAGAACAGAAAAGCCAGCATCTTTTCCCATTTAAGAATATTTAATAGCACAGTGATTTCCCGTCAAAAACGTCCCTCCCAGTGTCACGGGGAAAGGCGCTCTTGAGTCCCCGGGAGCCACGCTCCGCTCCACCCATACCTTGTTTCACACCTGCGGACGGGCTCAGCTTCCCGGACTTGATCTGCTCTTTGGCGAGGTGGAGAGAGGCTGCCAGCAGCTGTGCGGCCTTCATGTACAACACCAGCTGCTCCACCCGCCTGTAGGGAGACAAACCGTCAGTGCGGCACCCTGCGCCCCCGCAGACCGCCGCCACCACCACCACAGCGCGTCCCCGGGAAGCTCATTTCCTTCATGCTTTCAATGCACAAAGAACTCCCAGAGGAAGAAGGTTCAGCATGGAAAAAAACTGTGAGCTTTGAATACAATGGATACACTCAGATAAAAGTAAAATATCTTCAACAGTGTAATTTACAGGAAAGGCAACACCAAGGCGGCAGACTCTCCAAGGCTTGGCTGGCACAGCAGTGTCCAGCATGGTGAGATAAGAAGAGATGTTCTGAAGCTTCTGCTACTGGGACCTGACCTCCATGGGAGGACGAGGCCTCCAGCTCAGACTCAGAGTGGGAAGACCCTGGAGATGAAAGCCAGGGGGCACCTACCCCCAGTCCTTGCTCAGCTGGCTGATCTGGTCCACCACCACGCTCTCCTGGATCTGGTACAAGGAGACGGCGGACGTGCAGAGCTCTGGGCTCCCCCCGCGCACGGCGGTCAGGTCCAGCACACACTCCGTGAACATGAGCATCATGTTCAGGTGGCGTAAGGTGTCTGTGTGTTCTCGCTGCGGCAAAGTCAGTTTGTCTCAGAAACTTGCTGGTCAAGGAAAGGCGCGTGCTCTGCGCACAGACCACGGCCACTGCTAATGTTTCCTATATTACGAATATGAGAACGCTCAAAGGAGACTGAAATCTTTAAATTCCAGAAAACTAGCGAGAAAGCATACACACATGCACCCAGACGAAGATGTGCCATGCTGTGTGTGTGGATGTATGAGAGGGCCCACAGAGTTAAGCTTCAAAGGTATGAGGTCACTGCGCTCTCACCGGAAAAAAATGGAACACCAACAACGAAATCAACATACACGAGACAAGCACATGACAAAACAGACACTGAGATTATAAGGATCCTCTGTACACTAAACCACACTTCTTGGTAGTTTAGTTAATTCTACTGACTGACCGACAATTTCAGAGATGCTTTATTTTAGTTTCTGATGGTTTTTAACATTGATTCTTAACACTAAAGCTCTAAATTTTCTGTGGTCTTTTCAGTTAAAGAGGGGAGTAGAGAAAGATATAGTAAGTAGCATGCAATAAAAATGGGTATTCTAAAATTAATGTTGTTTTGAGATTTGTTTTTAGCTAAAAATGTATTTTAAAATCTCAAATAAGACTAAGTTTCCCACTCTCCTTTTATGGTTAAAAAGGGATGAGAATCAGCTCAGTTTCCTAGAGACAGGAGAATAAACCAATCAACTTTTGAAAGACTCTCTGCTCTATGACAGCATATTAGACTTATGTTCCAATATGTATTGGAACATAATTTATGCCTAATTTAATGGAGATTGAAAAAACTATGAAGATTGCTTTTCCAATCTTAGATTATATTTTCAAAATTATAATTTAAACTTACTACAGAATCACTATTAAAGTTTTGCATGTAATATCTCATAATTGCTATTCTCATTCACACAGAACAGAAATAGTAGAGGTCCAGCACGGAGAGAGAATTTTTCTTCAGTTGATCTAAAGAACTGTTCATTTTAGTCTGAAATGCAGGCTGAGCTGCACCGTGTCAGGGACTAAGGTCCCAGTGGAGCCCCCCGAATGCCATCCTAGAGGTGGTGATGAGGGACGGAGGTGGCCCGGGCTCTGGAATCACAAAATTCTTCTTGTTCTGGATTAGTGCTCAGCACGCTTCACATGACGCTGTGTTTTCCCTGCAGAACTGGCTCTGAGGGGAAGAAGCTGGTCTACACTACAGACAGGAGTGTCCAGTCTGCTGGGCAGATTTATTCCTCAGCGTTATGGACTAATCTGGCATTATAATTTTTTTAAACCTAAGTTTAAGTGTATCACTTCTGTCTTATGAAAAAAAGTAAGATTTGAGAATAAAAGTTGTGGTTTTAGGACAAAGATTATGCTTTAAAAGTCCTATAAATAGTAAATAAACTTCAGATAAAAAAACAAAGAACACAAAAATGTTCACATCCCTCCCTACCAACCAGAGCTGTTATGCACGCCACTGTCAACATTATTCTGAAAAGACACCAGCAATGTTTTCCAAATAGAAAAGGAAAGGGAAAACCCGCCAGGCCTTGCTATCGGATTCTGCTCTTTTGTCCCCAGACCACTGTCCTCTGCAGCCACGCTAAATGTCACACCATGACGGCCGTCCCACCTCCATCAGCGTCTCCTCAGGCAGTTCAGGGGCTTCAAAGGTGATGAGCCCCTCCAGACTTGGGGGTGAAGCACCATAAGGCATGTGTCTCAGGCCAGGAGCCGCCTCTGCTCCCGGAGGGGAGGTCCCCGAGCAGGGCCCGGGCGGGGAGCCCGCGCACATGCGGCCGCACAGGGAGCCTCCGGAGCCGGCTGCGGAGAGAGCACACGGGCGAGTGAGCGCAGGGCCAGGGCACAGAAGGGCCCAGGGGAAAGCCACCGAGCCTGTCCGTGCACGTGAAGAGCTTTTATCTTCCCTTTACTCCCTGTCTGCATGTCTGTGTCACAGAATCACCACAGCTACTTTAAAAATATTCCGTTCTGAACAAATTTACAGCATACATGTCTCTCCCTGCTGCTCCACGGTCTTCACAGCTGTAAAACTCAGTGGCTACAAAGCGGCTCACTAAACTTATATACAGAATGCTTATCTGGAGGCATTCATGCTATTTCTGATTTTTCATATCACAAGTAACCCTGTGATGAAATCTCCCCGTCTTTTGAGTCATCTACTTGTGATAAACACTCCAAAGCAGTGTATCAACAGGAGTGGGATGACCACAGATCAAACGCTGCCATGAGCGCATCGGCAGCTCTCTGTAAGCCGCCGCGCCGCATTCTGGGCAGTGAGCACAGAGGGCCCACTTAGCTTCAACGGCAGTGCACATTATGGTTTTTAAATCCTGGCTTAGTTAGTAGGTATAAAATGTTATTTTCTTAATACAGTTTTTATTTTCTAATACTTTAAATAATCCCGAAGTCAAGATCATTGGCTCTTTTTCTTCTCTC